CATTTTATCTTGTGTGCGTCAAATCACGTGACCCTTCTTTCCGGTCGAAACCGGAAGTGCCTAATAATTTGAAAGTGGAAAAAGATATGAACTTGCTTTCAACGATGTGAGCCTGTGGGTGGGTTGATCTTTCCAAAAATACGATCAGTGACGTCATCAAGTGTTCGAGCGCCCTCTAGCGGCAGGTTAAAAAATGTCCAAAACGCATTTTCAGTTGATGTCTGTGGCAAAATTTGCGGTAATCGCTTCTAAATTAATATACATGATTACCTTAATGCAGACAAGACCTGTGAGCGAAAAAAAATTGATTACGTAATCAGACCGGAAGTTACAAAGAAAAGACCTTTTTTCCTTTGAAAACTGCTAAAAAAATCAACCGTTAGAGTTATAATCAAGTTTTGTGCTTTAAATGGCACTTTAATAATAGGTTTAAAACTTCCCAAAGTTTGGGCGCTTTTTTCTAAAAACATGCGCATTAGGGTAAAAAGGATATGGCGAGCAATATTTTGTATTGTGTCAATGGTGTGCGACCTTTACTTTTAGCTATTAAGGGTTTCTGTATACTTGATCAGTGTACAGTACACTATACGCGCGTGCAGATCCTCACCTGACTCTTTTTAACTATCCTCTGTATAATTACTACATGCGCTATTTTTCAACCCTCAACATCAACATCAACAATCAACAATAACATTAACATCAACAATCAACACCGTGTGGTTGTTCCTAGAACCTCTAGTTTTCTTTCAAATTGCCCACCTCCACCCCATCGCCTCCATTTGTAGGGTACTCGTGTGGGACAAAATGTTTTTTAGCTTTTCTGCTGTTGCAGTAGGAATAAACGTCTTATGCCTTACTGAATTCAATTCGTTTCTTGGATGTGTACCAAGAGGCGATTATTCCTCCCGTTGGTTCAGTCGGGGGAAGATTTTCTGGCGGGAAGTAGACAGACACAGGTTAAACATTTTCATTGCCCTATCATAACGGCCAATAACTTTATTACATTCACTATTAATTGCCCTATCATACAATGTAAATATACTATGACAGTTTACATTTGTTGTGACAGGCACTGTAATGGCTCCCTGGAGGTTCACTAGGGGCCATTCCTCCCGTAGCTCCTTGCGTTAAGCGGGGGAACATCCTGTGCCTGAATTGTTTATTAATAGTTCAATTTTGGTATTTGTATTCAAGATTTTCTTCCATTATGTAACTAGGTCTGGTGTGCCCTCTTTATTAGGGTCTGGTGTGACTTATATATGGTGGGCCTGGTGTGCCCTATTCATGGCTGGGTCTGGTGCCCTATGTACCAGGGTCTGGTTTAATTTCCCGAATTTTTGTGTGACCGAGGGATTTCCCTGAAGTGTTTACCATACTTTTCATGAGAGTGTAATTCTTTAAGAGTAATGCGTGGGCAAATTATGTCCCCTGAATCCTACCAAATTGAAAACCGCAGCATTATGTGCGATGTAGGCCCAAGTTACCCTAACGACACTTTTCATATTGCAATGTCAATGGGAAAACGGCAGCCTATGAACAGACTTTTGAGAACAGTTTTGTTCATCATGCAATATTCTTTCTAAATATTGTTTTTCAATTTACTTCCGAATTCAGTGTTTAAATCAAACACATTTGAATCGCGCACAACATAGGCCTATATTTCTTGTCATGTTTATCCATACCAATATAAATCTTTGCTTAAGATAAACATCACAGTGCTAAAGTTTTACAAATCAGTAACTTACCTTCATTGATGCAAGCTCAAACTGCTTGATAGGACTGCTTGGAATGATAGGACTGCTTGGAATGATAGGACAGCTTGGAATGATAGGACAGCTTGGAATGATATGACAGCTTGGAATGATAGGACTGCTTGGAATGATAGGACTGCTTGGAATGATAGGACTGCTTGGAATGATATGACAGCTTGGAATGATAATGACAGCTTGGAATGATATGACAGCTTGGAATGATAGGACTGCTTGGAATGATAGGACTGCTTGGAATGATATGACAGCTTGGAATGATAGGACTGCTTGGAATGATAGGACTGCTTGGAATGATAATGACAGCTTGGAATGATAGGACTGCTTGGAATGATAGGACTGCTTGGAATGATAGGACTGCTTGGAATGATATGACAGCTTGGAATGATAGGACTGCTTGGAATGATATGACAGCTTGGAATGTTATGACTGCTTGGAATGATATGACAGCTTGGAATGATAGGACCATGGGCGGAGATCCCGGGGGGATGGGGGGGATATCCCCCCACCTTTTGACCAGGGGGGGATGACCAATGTAATCATCCCCCCACTTTTTAAAGGCAGGCGTACTGATTTGGGCAGGGTCCGTAACTTGCCAATACCCCTTGACAGGCCAGCACCACGCAGCCCAGCAAGTGCAAGTGTCGTTCGCTTACCGTAATTTTCGGAATATAAGCCGCCCTGTGTATAAGCCGCAGCGCTCCAAAAACTTCAGAATAAGATTCAGGCCACAGCGTATAAGCCGCACCATCGTATAAGCCGCACCATTTTATGTACATGTATTAATTAGCAGAGGATTATAAACAGGACCGCCGCAACAACTCTCTCATGCATGCAGTGGCGTAGCCACCGGGGGGGGGGGGGGGGGGGGGGGGGGGGGGTTGCGACCGCCTCCCATGAAACTTTGCGTATTAACACCCACTGCACTGCTCGCTAACACCACAGAACACGGATTATAGACAGGTGGTCCGTGGTTCACACAGTTTCAGTCAGCGATATCACGCAAATCGGCCACGCACAAACTTTTTCCTCCATTGATATAAGCTAAATAATAATAATAGACCAATTAAAATTCCTTTAAATCAGTGGCGTAGCGGGGGGGGGGGGGGGGGGCAACAGCCCCCCCATGAAACCTTGTCGCCCCCCCAGTCGCCCCCCCCCCACTGAGATTTAGAGTTTCTAAAAAACTTATCATTGATCTACATGACGCCATGGGCGTCAATCCAGGGGGGACAGGGGGACTGGTCCCCCCCCTTTTTTTGAAGGGTGGGGGACACAATATCAAATGTCCCCCCCCCCCAGATTTTTGAACTCGTGTCTCATTTACAGGGCCCTATTATGTACTACAATATATCTTTTGCTTAGAAAATATTGGTTAAAGTGGTCAGAAATTGCCTCAGATAGCACCACAGAGCATTTAGAATCCAACATTTTTCGGGGCCCTTAAGCGGGCCCCGAACCCCACGCCTATAGCTCAGAATTCTGGTAGCTGATTCCATGACTCCAACCTTGAAAATGAAACCTTGTCGCCCCCCCCCCAGTCGCCCCCCCCCCCCCCCCCCCCCCCCCCACTGAGATTTTGAGTTTCTAAAAAAATTATCATTGATCTACATGATGCCATGGGCGTCAATCCTGGGGGGACAGGGGGACTGGTCTGCCCCCCCTTTTTTTGAAGGGTGGGGGACACAATATCAAATGTCCCCCCCCCCCCAGATTTTTGAACTTGTGTCTCATTTACAGGGCCCTATTATGTACTACAATGTATCTTTTGCTTAGAAAATATTGGTTAAAGTGGTCAGAAATTGCCTCAGATAGCACCACAGAGTATTTAGAATCCAACATTTTTCGGGGCCCTTAAGCGGGCCCCGAACCCCACGCCTATAGCTCAGAATACCAATAGCTGATTCAATGACTCCAACCTCGAAAACGATGTTCAAATAATTATCTTTAGCTAAGAAAATATTAGTTAAAGCATGGAGGAAAAGTGGTAAGAATATGCTTCATATCACACCACAGAACATCTAGAATCCAATTTTTTCGGGGCCCTTAAGCAGTCCCCGAACCCCCACGCTGCAAGGGCTTCGCGCTTCGCGCTCGCATCAGTTCTGATCAAGGTATGTCCCCCCCCCCCCACTTTTGAGAAGCGATTGACACCCCTACATGATGCCCCCCCCCATGAAATGTTCCAGCCCCCCAGCGTCCCCCCCCCCCCACTGAAAAATTCCTGGCTACGCCACTGTCGTCAGGTATACATCATTGTCCACCATATGTTTTCATAGGTTTTGTAGAGTGTAGACCAAATCGCATTCTAATCATACATGTACCTTTAATACCAAAATGCATCTAGGCATTATTTTGCATTAATTATTTTGTAAATAATTATACTCAAAATAATGCATAGGCATTATTTGTGTTGCTAGGTGACCAGAGCTCCATTGTGCAAAGATAGCTTAGGCCAACACTTCCAAATACATTGGATGAGAAATTTTAGTTTTGAAGATCTTTTGTATTTGTTAATGCTTGAAGGTGTTAATTATTGTCATTTATTGCAATTCAAGCTCAAGAAAAGGTTGAATTTTGACACCATTTTGCACCTGAAATTGTGTAAACCCCAGGGGCTCCGGGGGGGGGGGGGGGGGGGGTGGTTACCTCAACCCCTAGCAAGGGCTTTGCGCCTGCAATCCCACCAGGGGGCCCTTAAGCAGTTTCTTGGACCCTGTGCCGTGTCGTGTTCCACATAAGGATGGCCATTCATAAATCATCCCCCCCACCTGTAACAAGAAATCTCCGCCACTGGATAGGACTGCTTGGAATGATAGGACAGCTTGGAGTGATAGGACTGCTTGGAATGATAGGAACACTAAGAACATAAACCAAGAACACAATAACAAAATGCGTGGCATTGTTCATTATACACACTTTTGTACGCGCACGCGATTGGTGGGTAACGACGGTGTAAGCACGGCGGGAAATTTGCCTGAAAACTAAGTCTGAGTGCATTAATTTATGCACACTTATGTATAGCGTTATGCAAAAAATGGTATAAAAATAGACACAAATTATTTTTCTTGCCGTGCTGCACCCGTGTTTAACGATTTTCTTCTAAATATGAGCAAATTTTGCAGCAGTGCGTTTCTGATTCAAGATTTCCTGGTCACATCAATTGCAGGAAATACACACTTGTAAGTGTGCTTATGGTGTAAGTGTTGTGTATCTTTTTTTAAAATACAAACACAGCAATGAAAAATGTACAGTGGTACAATAATTATATGGGAACATAACTGTAACAACTACATGTATTAACATGAGCTGAGGTACCAGAGCGCCTTTCTATCTTTATGTTGTCAAGACTTCTTGATAAACAACATTGCTGAGAAAACGGCGCTTCTTCTTTGTCTCTTCATCTAAAGCAAGAATGCTTGAAGTGCCAACCCAGCTGGCCGCCACGTAGAACTGACCGTGGCTGAAGAAGTCTCGCATGCAGAAGACCCGAACACGGTGTAGCAACTGCCCCTGAGATTTGTTGACGGTCATGGCAAAGCAGGGTCTCACTGGAAACTGTCGACAACGTAGAGTGAAAGGGAAGATCTCAGATGGTGAGAGGGTGATGCGTGGAATGAGGAGTGTGCGTCCAGCGTTTATACCAACCACAGATTGTGCAACCAAGAGATGGGGCAGGATTTGATTGATGAGATACCTTGACCCATTGCAGTGTCCTTTGTGCTGGTCGAAGTTTCGAAGTAGCATGATCACCATTCCCACCTTTAGAGTGATACGATGGGGAGGCATACCAGACGGGCAGAGGGTATTTAAAAATTCAGTCGGGTACATATGGTGACTGTCAGACTCTGCTGTGTCAACACTGCTGCAAACAGACTCCTCTCCTGGAAAGATATTTGTCATGTGCTCGTTGACCTTGTCAACCTCGGAGTTGGTTGGGCACAGTATGACACGCTCACATAGCCACGTGGGGTTGGCAAAGTTCGTGTGGATGTCCTCATACACCCAATTGACAATGTCCTTGAGTGTGTCACTGGGAAGAGTGAGCGATTTGTTGAGTTCAATAGCAAATTCACCTTCCTCTGGAACCACAGAGATTTTGCCCTCGCCAAGGTTCAGCAGGTAATCGGCAAAATGGGCTTCGTCTTGTTGCTGTCCAGCAGCCTGCCTGATTCTCATGTTGTGAGTAAGACGCAGAATCTTGACGTTTCTCCACAGGTATGAGCTCTTTAAGCATCTTCCTACTATCTCAGTGCGATTGCCATGTGGCACGACGGTAAGTATCTGCCTCCAGTCACCGCTGAAAACCATTGTAATGCCACCAAATGGTTTCTGAGAAGCTCGCAGCCACTGGAATGTGCAATCTGCTGCCTCTAATGCGTGGCGGTCCATCATTGACACCTCGTCTACCACCATGACATGCGTTATTCTGATGAGTGCTGCAGTGCTGTCGTCTTCGCTGATGTTGCAAGTGGACTCGTCAGTGAGAATGAGAGGGCACCTGGTTCTACTATGAAAGGTGGTCCCTTTAAGTAGGAGGGTAGCGGCGATGCCACTTGCAGCTGTTGCAAGGGCTACCTTGCCCTGTGCTCAGACTTTGTTGAGGATGTGGGACAATGTGAATGTTTTCCCAGTTCCACCACTTGCATCAACTGCGATCATCTTGCCAAGTTTCTGTTGCACGCTGTCCATCACTGCATTGACAACAACACGCTGTTCATCATTAAGAAGGCCCTCTGTCTGAGCTATGTGTGCCTCCAGCTCGGGTATGTTGTGGTCTATCTCATTCTAGATGATGCGGGGAATGCGTGGCTGAATGTGAACTGGATCAGGCTCAGGGAGGCCGAAGTTTTTGCTGAGCGTAAAGACGTGCCTCTCAACTTGGTCCTTCAGTTCGAGCAGCACTTGACTCACAATACCTTCATCTGGTTCATTGACACCCGCTTCGTGCATGAGTGTGGTCCTCGCACAGCACACGTTTGTGCTTTTCCCAGAACTGCAAGTGTTCCCCTCTGACAACAAACATGAGCATGTTGGCAAATACGCACCGCCGGGCCAAATGTGATGTTCGAAGCCTCCTCCATTACAGCATTCACCTCCTCTTCGTTATCAACAATGCCATGTGCGATGCAGGCTGCCAGATAGGTACCCATGACCCTGTTGCCAACGCGTCGAATGTCTTGGAAGGATGTTGGCCCAGGCAGACGGTACAGTAGGATGCGGAGATAATATAGCTCTGCAGCTGCAGTATGAGGGCTGTAGGCAATAAGAGGGAGTCGTCGTCTGCCATCCGGTCGTTGTGAGAACTAAGTCTTTTCTTTCGCAACTGAAATGTCTTTCGCAAGTAGGTGAAGTGTTGAAATACATCTGGATACACAACATGTCGCATGTGTGGGTGTTGAATCATGGCATCGTAGAAGGCAGTGAGTGTGGTTGCAGGGGGCACTGAGTCGCTTGCGTTGAATGGGGAAGTCGCAGATGCGCCAGTATGCTTCAGATGCAGTGATGTATCGCCCGAGTTCATATCGCGTGACCTCATCACGTCGTAATGCCTGTCACGTCTCCTCATCTAGTCTGTCTAGTCTGACCAGGCACTGATCTGGTCCCTTTTCAAGGTATTTGTACAGGTACTTCACACTGGTGATAGCACAAACGATCTCAAGGTTGATGTGGGCATTGTACCGGAGTAGAATATATGGATTGTAAGGCACAACCCATGCGTTGTTGACTGATACGTTGACGCCTCCTCGGATTGTCTTCATGATTGGAGCACCAGGTGCTGTTTCTGCCTGTCTCCTGTAAAGAGGATAGCTTTCTTCAGAGAAGCTTGTCTTTTCTCGCAGGACCTTCGGATAGTGCTTTGTACACTTCTGGTCTGCCATGCAGGGGCTGGCATTGTTCCATTCCCCGCATGGACCGTGAATCATGTTCGGGATTGGTGTTGCTGTTAGGAATCTTGGCAGAGACCACGCGATCAATATCTGTCGAGGTCCTGGGTTTGTCGCAAGGTACCATGGTCAGGAGCATGTGAATATGTGGAAGGTGGCGCTTTTGCGTTTCCTTCACCATCACGTAGGCGTCCACGTGCCCCACGATGTCGTGCTTGAGGAGGTCTGTGAGGAGAGCTTCTACTTTCATGTTGAACACTCTAGCGATGATGTCAGGTCTCTGATGGGCTGGTTGACTCTCAAAAAGCGATCCTGTGATTTCTGGCCACTTGGGGTTGCAGGTGAAGGTCAAGAAGAAATCAGGTTTTCCCTTGATTCTGACCAAGGCCATTGCATCCTGGAACTCCTTGGCATACCACCATGGTGAGCCATAAATTGACGGCGGCAGGATGGTGAGGGGTCCAGGTAGCATCTCAGCATCACTGTTTAGGGCATCAACAATTACCTTGTACTTTTCAGCCTTGATGGACCAATTTTGGCCATCATGTCGCATACGTACTGCTGTGTCAGTTTCCCACCACGAAGAAGTAGATTGAAGTGCTGAGTAGGGTCTCGTACTTGAAGATGGTAGTGGTAGAATGATGTAGGTGTGATTCCTGCCAGTTCAGTGTGGTATCCCTGGGAACCGCATGGCAGTAGAAGTACGTATGACAATGGGTCATATGCTGGATGCATGGCTTCAATGGTTTGAATTCTTCCTCCACTGAGGTGAAGAGTTACAGCCAGTTTTCCAAACTGCTCTGTCGGCGTTGCTCCTGGAGCAATGACAGCCAACAATATATGGCGCTGGAAGGTTCACTGTGCCACGATGAAGGTTTGTGCGTCGCGTTCGATCTGTTAGGACAATTTTGAGTTCATTGTTGCTGTCATTCTGGGCCACATACTCAATGGCTGATTGGAACTGCTGCAAGTACGGGTTGCACTTGTGAATGGCCTCTTGTGCTCTCAGTAAAAAATCTTCATTGAGGCTGCTGTTGGAGGTGTGGGTACGACGGTATTCAAGCTCATGAACAGGATCGTGGAAGTAGATCTGGGCAAAGAGTGGGGAACGACCCTGCTCTGGAAGAGGAGCAGTAATGTAATGATAAACTTTCCCTTGTATGCAAATCCCAGGATTGAAGCCAGGAATTGGTATCTCTTGAACGCCGATACTGGCCATTGCCAGCGCGTTGTTATACTGTTTGGCCTGCTTTACAAAGTTCTGATTTCGGAAGAGGTGCATGATAGCATCTGGAGGCTGTGGTGGGATTGATCCAGGTTTGGGATTTGTGGGATCGTACGTAAGGTCAATCTTACCAGAGTTGCAGCAGAATCCTTTCCTTTCTTCTCTCCATACAAAGGCACCACAATGTGAGCATTGTGGACATTGATGTATTGAGGTCTTGCTCAGTGTCTGCCTGCAATCCCTATGAAGCTCCTCTTGGAAAAAGTCTGTATCATCATACCGTGCGAGGTCGCGCTTGTCATGGCGTGCCTGCTGCAGTCGCGCACTGTGGACTTGTCGATGGTGCATGGCGTCCCTTGCCTGGCGCTCTGCTCGTATCTGTGGGGTTTCCTGTGCCCTCGCTTCTTGATGGTTCATGGCGTCCCTTACCTGGTGCTCCGCTCGTATCTGGGGGGTTTCCTGCTCTCGCACGAAGTTGTGACGTCGACGGTCACGTGCTTGGCGATGCGCTTGCCGGTGAGGGGTCTCGTTGTGTCGCGCACGGCTGTGGCTTGCCTGATCCTGAGCTAAGCGTGCATGCCGTGCTTTGTCCAACTCAGCTGTACGTCGGTTGGCCTTGCGCATCCGCTCCTGCTCCAGCTGAGCACGGCTATATTTTGGCATGTTAGTGAATGAACCACCCTTAGGCAACGTGCTCAGTCAGCGTGTAGTCGTGAAATCCTGAGGGGGATAAAAAAATAACCAAAGTAAATATTGCTAAAAAGCATACCATAAATTCCCTCTCAGTGTAAAAGTTCTTTATACACTTAAAATTACAGTCTATCATTTAAATGCTTTTGAAAAAGTAACAGACAGAATTATTTCATTGATTGTGAGTTGAACAAAACTGTAAAAAAAAAAAAAAAATGTGCATTTTTAGCGGGCTCTGCAAATGGACGCTACCTTTAAAACATGTAAAATTCTGCCGGAAGTTCTTAATTCACTTAAAATTACAGTCTATCATTTAAATGCTATCAAGAAAGCAACAGACGTAATTATTTAATTTGATTGTGATTTGTACAAAACTGTAAAAAAGGGGGAAAAAAAAAGGGGGGGGGACCATTTGTAATGTGTTATGAAAGTTTCAAAACTGTTGCATTTTTAGCGGGCTCTGCAGATGGACGCTACCTATAAAGTATAAGGCAAAATGCAGGTGGGAGTTCTTAATACATTTAAAAGTACAGTCCATCAATTAAATGCTATCCAAAAACTAACAGACGTAATTTTTCTTTGATTGTGATTCGCACAAAACTTAAAAAAACAACAACAACATGCAAACATGTACATTTTTAGCGGGTTCAGCAAATGGACGCTACCTTTAAAACATGTAAATTGCTGCCGGAAATTCTTAATTGACTTAAAATTACAGTCTATCATTTAAATGCTATCCAAAAAGTAACAGACATAATTATTTCATTGATTGTGATTTGTACAAAACTGTAAAAAAAAAAAAAGAAAAAAAAAAGGGGGAAAAAAAGAGGGACACTGTAATGTGTTATGAAAGTTTCAAAACTGTTGCAGTTTTAGCGGGCTCTGCACATGGACGCTACCTATAAGACATGTGAAATGCTGATGGAAGTTCTTAATACCTTTAAGACATGTTCTGAATACTTACGTTTAAGACAGATGCACATTTGTATAGCGGGCACTACAAATGGACGCTATACCTTAAAGACATGTAAAATGCTGATGGAAGTTCTTAATCTATACTATAATTCAAGGAATCTCTGTCTGTCTGTCTGTCTGTCTGTCCGCCGATTATCTCCAGAACCGGGCACCGTATGAAGTTGAAAATCGGCGGGTGTATTGCTTGGGACAGCAGAATGTGCAGTGCCAAGTTTGAGGTGGTTTGGACGAGCGGTTCTCGAAAAAGCTGCAAAAAAGCAGCATTTTTTTAGCTTCAACGTGGCAGAGTATAGCCTAGAACACGCGCAGTCCTTTTCAATTGTTTACGTCATGTTCGAGCCAAAGCGCGCGTCCTCTCATAGAATAATAAGCCGCGTGAAGAATAATATGCCGTGTCAATCATAGGTATAGTTCTATATCTATGGCATCAATATACCGCGTCCGCGCATAGAATAGGGTAAATAAACTATGGTACACTTTTCTTCCTCATAATTGTGTGCGTTGTTTGCACGAAAAGTTCTCAAAAACGCAGCGGTCAAGCAATTTGCCCCTCCCGAACAGGCACATTTTCAACTTGCCCCTCCCGAACAGGCACATTTTCGTCCTTTTCAATTGTTTACGTCATGTTTGAGCAAAAG